GCGCGGCGGGCCCCGGGCGCCCCGGCGCGCCGCGCGGCCCCCCCCCTTTATAGTTGAGAGCAAAGGTAAACGTAGCTGGATATTCAAAAGGAAAGTGTAGACGCACCGAATCCAAATATCGAGAGTAAAAGTTAATGCATTACAATTTGCTATATAGAACGAGAAGGTTACATATATTGTCAGTCTCGTGGTGTCTTTGAATATCTTTTGTTCATTGACTATTGTCCAGCACCGAAGCAGAGGATTGCAGTATCTCAAAAGTTTAATTCTTCTAATTGCTCCAAAACTCTAAGAATATTTTATTATTTTGACAGGTTACCATAATGAATTTTTATCGTTACTCAATAAACGTTAACCAGTTTTAAGAGTAGAAACAGTCTGATCGATCGAGTCTTCTCGTTAATCGTATGTATCTGTTTATTTTTATAAACTTTTTTGTTTCTTACCCTACACCGGAAACAGCAATAGGCCGAACTAACTAACATAGTATGTTAGTCATGCTTTCTGATATTGATCTTATTTGAGAAGCTGCTGAAGTTAAGTCTGATTAGTTTTGAAATCTTTGACACTGACGTATATCAGAATGTAATGTATCAAATATGTAATTTTAAAATTACATATACCTTGGTGCTGTTAAGCTGGGCCTGACCCAGTGAGCAATTTTTGCATCATAGATGCAGTGTACAGAGACAAGCATTTCGGTATTTTTTTTTAAACGGATTAAAGTTAGGAAAGACGAGGATAACTCATTTTATCGAGAACAGTATTCAGAAAATCGTTCAGTTCGGAAAGACTTTTTCCTAAAGCTATAAGTCCGAAATAAAATATTTCTTTGCTAATAGATAGCCAAAAGAGTCTAGATTCAGAATCTATATCCCTTTTAATTTGTGCTTTATTAACTTTGATAACAAAATTTTTTTCCTCACATTACGTGCGTTTTCATGCTAATTGTTGCCCATGTATTTTTCAACAATCCTTAAGACATGGAACAAAACATTTTATGTTATTAAGTAGCTCAAATGTCGAAGTATATTTCCCACTATTGAAGTATGGAAGAAGTACATCTTTAATTTTTCCTCAAATGTCCTAATCGTTGCCCAGTGAACCTGTTGGAAAAAATTGCAGGAACACCGAAATCATATATTACTGTTCAAAACGTTGTGTGTCTTGAACTGAGACTGCAAAAATATGATAAGCATACCTTTTTAGATGGTGATTTAAGTAGTTCATATGGTGGTATCAATTCTTTTAGATGAATAATGTGTAAACCATTCGCAGCATGCAGTATACTAATTACTTCTAAATATGTTGCTGGCATTAATAACATTTCATTTTCACTGAATGACGAATATTTTTTAATTGATTTACCATTCAAACATTGAATAGAAAATAACGTTCTATCACCATCTTTTCCAAGGAATTTATCTATTTCAAGAACTTCAATTGATTCTGTGCATGAACTAAATCCCCACCAAATTACTTTCTTCCCTCCTGGATATTGCTCACTCAAATCGCCTCTTACTCCACGCCAAATCGTTGTTTGAACAGATTGTAATTTGAATAGAGCAGTAAGAAATAGTTTCAAATACAAAAACCATGGTGATATTAGTTGTTCACGTTCTTTCGATCGTAATACGTCATTAAGTTGATAATAAACAGTATTGTGAGATGGATTCCATTCAAGTGTGTATAATTGAATTGCCGCTACTTCATCGATTGAAAGAAAATCATCAGGTAGATTTTCACGTTGTTCTTTAATAATCCAAACTTTGGCTAGTAAATTTTGACATAGGTGTTGGATAGGCTCAGCTGCTTCTTCTAACGACAGTAACGGATAGTCTTCGTATCCTTCAAGTGGAATTAAAAGTCTTCCGCGTTCTTCGCAACCATCAAGAAAACGGGAATGTGCCATTCAACAGAGTGCTCGTCTAATAATTGTGTTCGCTTTTTGTTCCACCTGTCAACACCGAAAAGCTTAAGCACTTTACATTAATATTTATTTTCTGTTGTTCTGTGTGTATGCGCGCTAAGGATATGCGGTAACCGGTAATTTACCGTCGGTAACGGTACGATGAATTTACCGAAAAAAGTAAAAAACTTTTGCATTATTTTCAGAGTCGTTTACTCATTTTCAATATTATGTATTTTTAAAACTCATCATTCAAATAATTTATATGCACATGCATTGTCAATCTTTTTATGACTTACGCGTGTTTATTGCAGTTAGAGGAAGCAACTGAAAATTTTTATTAATTCACCCTGTCCATGTGGCACTCTCAACAAACACTGTTCTTCTCATAATAGACATGTTGCATGAGAAAGTTAGTCTAGGTCAAAACGTGAACGACTGGAGCGATTTTGATGAATTTAGACGCTTAAGAGTTTGAAGTCATGTTCTTTCCACTGGGTACATAAAAAACTTACGAAAATAGCGCGAGTAAGGTTTCTAGAAAACTGGCGGTTTTTCACTATCGGAACACAATAAAATTTATTTTTGAAAACACGCCGTACAGGCGTGACTTTCTTGATAGGTGTATGATGCGTAAAAATGTTTACAAAACATGTTGAATATGTATGCTTGATTGATTTCTAAACAGAATTTTAAAACATTAAATTTCACTGTTTTTTTTTAAACATTTTGTTTCAGAGAAAAGAGAAAATTTTACTGAAAAAAGATATTTGAAAGAACAACAAACTGAAGAAACATAGGGGTTTGCCAGTTTGAAATAAAGAATAACGGTTTTCTAGAAGGTTTTTAGAAAATCTATACAAAACTATCTTCCAAAACGTTGTTTTTCGACTATTGACAATAGTTTTTAATACTGAACCTATGTCACTGACACTCACTAAATCCATAAATGATCAGAAATCACATTGTCTAGTGTATGAAAAAATTTCGAAGAGGTTATATAAAGGTTTTCGGTGAATTTTACCTTCAGTAATCAAAATTTTTCCCAGATTTATAAATCACATTCTAATCGTGTAACCTATCATGTCAGAACGTAATGTTAGAGGGAAATGTTAAAAAAAAACAGTTAGCAAATGAAACCATATTTTATTTTTATATCAATTCAAATTTTATTTGTATTTCACTTCCACTGTACCTGGCAACAGAAAGTAGAAAGAAAAAGAACAAAAAGAGAACAAGCGTAATATAATGACGAAGAGCAAAACGTGTTGTAACAGAATAGATTTGAATCTATTCTGTTACAACACGTTTTGCAGAAACACAGAATAGATTCAGATGATATATTGTTGCCATCGATATAAAGAGTTCTTAATGTTTGGTTTGTTTTCAAGGCATCTGCAATTGCGTTTGCTCCTTCATCTGAAATATTGGTCCAGCGACTGTCAGGAGTTCTTAATGTTTGGTTTGTTTTCAAGGCTTCTGCAATTGCTTTTGCCCCTTCATCTGATATATTGTTGCCACGAGTGCTAAGAGTTGTTAATGTCGGGTTTGTTTTCAAGGCTTCTGCAATTGCTTTGCCCCTTCAGATGATATATTGGGCCAGCGACTGTCAAGAGTTGTTAATGTCTGGTTTGTTTTCAAGGCTTCTGCAATTGCTTTGCCCCTTCATCTGATATATTGTTGCAGCGACTGTTAATTGCTTTTGCCTCTTCATCCGAAGTATTGTTGCGACGAGTGTCAAGAGTTGTTAATGTTTGGTTTCTTTTCAAGGCTTCTGCAATTGCTTTTGCTCCTTCATCTCATATATTGTTGCAGCGACTGTTAATTGCTTTTGCCCCTTCATCTGATATATTGTTGTCGGATATATCAAGAGTTGTTAATGTTTGGTTTGTTTTCAAGGCTTCTGCAATTGCTTTTGCCCCTTCAGATGATATATTGTTGTTGTATATATCAAGAGTTATTAATGTTTGGTTTGTTGAAAGTGTTTTAAGAATACTCCTAATTCATTGGAAAACTCAAATTGGTCTGTAGTGGTTTTTCCAACACAAGAAGTTGTTTCCATTAGTCCGAAGGATTTTTGTTAGAATTCGTTCATGTTCATTTTAATCTGGAAATTAGTTTAGATTAATTAGAAATTATTGAAAAGGTCCATTGGGATGAGTGCACAAGTAAATGGGGAAACTGTAATGATCAAGAAAAGGTATATCGTTCAACAATAAAGCATCTGAAGGGACAAAAGCAACTACCGAAGCCTTGAAAACAAACCAGACATTAACAACTCTTTCTATATTCGTCTATGAGTTTTAATTAAAAGAGCATATTTGACAGATAGTGTTTTGATATCGATCGTTTTCGATTCAATATCAAACACTCGTTCAACCTTCATTTGAGAATGGTTCTAAGAAAAAGTATCATATTTCATGAACTCCTGCAACAGGTAACATTCGAATACCCGGTTTATTGGTCATGGAGACTGATATAGCAGAACACAGAGGTTTACTTGGTGTGATTATTATCATCCGCGGGCAGTTCGTTCGTTTATGGCCGCTGGGACCCATAGGACCAAAAACTTCTGTGGACTGTGTCTTATGTTGATTTGAGAAAATTGCTCACAGAAACACAAAATCGAATACCAGGAATCGCAAAGAAACAGCCGCACACGAGTTCTAACTTTTCCTCTTCACCATTAGGAAAAGAGGAATATACATGCTTACATCCACTCAATTAGTTTTATTTAGATCGTGTGAGGAAGGAGTTCACGATAGGAAATGCTGGTGTGAAGTAAACGACAGAAAGGAGGAAAAACACCGAGAACAGTTCTAAGCTGCGGTCTTCAATTCCTCAAACTGGGCAACGAGAATAAACTTTGTTATATGGGCTATTGAACCGTAATAAAATTTTATGTTCGATGTGCTAAATATCACGGAAAAACACAGCCAAAAGTTAGCTTGAAAATACAAGAGCTTGAGACAGTTCTTCTTTATGAAATTTAACAAAGTTAAACGAGAAAACGAGATATGTTCTTAAACCTTGGATTTTACAGTAAAATCAATTTTCCTAAGCTCAAGAGGATTTATAAGAAAAATTAAGGTAAAATTTAGAATCACCGTACAAAACTGCATCGAATGATGTACAACTCGACGATATTCTGCGAAGTTTTTTCCATATCAAAGCCGGAAAATGTTGTCGTCTTGTTCTATACATAAAAGGCGGTAAACGGCCTTCTTCTCAAAAAGTTTTTGATCGCCGCCTTCGGCAGCTCGCATTCTCCGTTCAACTTTCTTAATAATTCACCTGACACACCTTATTATTTCTCAAGGCTTCTGCAATTGCTTTTGCAATTGCCCCTTCACCTGATATATTGTTGCCACCGATATAAAGAATTCTTAATGTTTGGTTTGTTTTCAAGGCATCTGCAATTGCTTTTGCGCCTACAGATGATATATTGTTGCCATCGATATAAAGAGTTGTTAATGTTTGGTTTGTTTTCAAGTCTTCTGCAATTGCTTTTGCCCCTTCATCTGATATACTGTTGTTGGATATATCAAGAGTTGTTGTGGCAGTAGATATTAATTTTACTATAACTTCTTTTTCTTTTTGGGATAGTTTTGTTGCATAATTTTCTGATAAGCTTGATTTTTTCAATTGGGTTACAGCTGATGGTAACGGGGAAAGCGATGTCTTTTGAGAACCTGAAGATAGACCAACTAAAAGGTGAAGCGACATGCGGGCTTTTTATTTCTCTTGCAGGAATACTGTAGCCACCTTTGTAGGTGTTACGTTACTGGCAACTTCACAGTGTTTTTACTGGTCAAACAAGTATTTCATACTGTTCCGAACACGTTTTGCGTGATCGACCACATTTATGCTCATTGGTAACTCTTGGCACTCGTGGCAACAATATATCAGATGAAGGGGCAAAAGCAATTGCAGAAGCCTTGAAAACAAACCAGACATTAACAACTCTTGACAGTCGCTGGCCCAATATATCATCTGAAGGGGCAAAGCAATTGCAGAAGCCTTGAAAACAAACCCGACAT